AGAGGCAAGGCCAAAAGTGACGACATTTCTGCGTTTCGCGACCACACCCCCCCGATCCCTGTGACTGTTGACACTTTTGAGACGCGAAGACCCGAGACGAGTCCAAAAGTGACGACATTTCTGCGTTTCGCGACCAGGACCCCCCCGATCCCTGTTGACTGTTGACACTTTTGAAACGCGAAGACCCGAGACGAGTCCAAAAGTGACGACAGTTCTGCGTTTCGCGACCAGGACCCCCCCGATCCCTGTGACTGTTAGACGAGTCCAAAAGTGACGACATTTCTGCGTTTCGCGACNNGACACTTTTGTAATACGAAACGTAAAAAGTGACGATAGTTCTGCGTTTCGCGGCGATTTTCGTCCCTCCGGCATGTCCGACCCTCCGCGAACGCTTGCGAACGCTTGCGGACGCAAAGGCAACGACCTCGCCTCGCCTGCTGGACCCCTGGACCCCAACCTTAAAACGGGAACCCTCCTGCTACGCATTTGGGAAAACAACCCAAAAAAATTGGTAGATCTGGCAAGAGATTCTGAACTAGCGCCCCAGGAAGGAAGTTCACTACAGAACAATCCTGTGCTTCCTTTTGAAGGGGGTATATTCGACTACAGAGGCATTCTATGTGCATCTACTTAGAATTCCCTTGAGCGCTTGCTTCTACAACACACGAAGATGCCTGCACACAAAACCGGACAAGAAACAGTCATCATAAACTCATCAGCCACCCGCGTTGAATTTGTCAAGTACATGAAAACAGAACTCATGCCAAGTAGCTGGTCTACTTCTGTGCCCAGCCTGCTCAGCGTGCTTTGCATGGAAAATCACGGCTAGAAGAAAAGCAAGACAGAACCGAACACGGAGCCTGGTGAGAATCAGCTGGAGCTGCACGAGTGGATCGGGGTTTACGCTGGCTGGAACTTTTTTCAGCATGTTGAACTTGCGGATGATGGCCAGCATGTTCAGAAACTGATCTCTGCTCGTCCATGTGGTGGGCTTTTTTTGGGTGCACTGGTGGGTGCATTGGCTGCGTCTTTGAAGCCTCACTAGCAACGGTGGAGTGCGGAGTCTGATGTGACTGCTCACGCTGCCCAGATGGTCGATCTCTTTCATCGTGCCGGCTCGGCTCGTGTGGCTGTCCAGGCTTATCCGACCTCTGTGAGGGCCTGACGGCTGCTGTGTACTCAGGCTGCCCGTCTTTCGGCTGCACATGCGATGGATCCCGACGTGCCGCCTCGTTGAAACACCGGCGCTTATGCAAAAAGGGTGACGCGGTCATGAACAGTCTGAACTACTGCCACCAAGTATCAGAGTGCTTCTGGACCTGCAGAAACGAAATGATTGTACCCATAACAATAACAAAGTATAGTAGCAACTAGATTAACAGCAAGACAATAGTAACTTACTAGTACTAGACTAGTACCAGTACAAATACCAGTACCAACACTAGTACTAGCAATAGTACTAGAACTAGTAGTGATAATAATAACACTCACTGCGATAATCAGTTCTAGTAATAGTGATAGTAACAGTAATAATAGCAATAATATTAACAATAACAATAATGATCATAATAATTAGTTTCGAAAACAGTACTATTAATCGTGATAGTTACAGGAGTAAAGATACTAATAAACCAGTACTAGTCATAGTCATAGTAACAATAGGCATAATCATCAACTAGTGCTAGTAATAGTGATAATAACGTAAGGGTAGCTTTTCGGATCCGCTGCGACCCAAGCCTCTGCTTCACTCGGGTGCGAGGCAGGCTGGATGAGCTGGTGCCTAGCAGTCAAACTCTGCCACAGCCACCGTCATTCATCAAGGGTTTATAGGGTTTAGGGTTTGTAAGGTTAAGGGATCTAAGGATCTAGGAGGTAGGGTTCGAGATTTAGGGTTTAGGGTTACCATTGTCTTTCTATGACCATTACTTTTACTACTATTGATTGTGTTTTCATGATTACAACTATGAAAACTATGATTCATACTGTTGTTATTACGAATATTATCACTATGATTACTATCATTTGTACTAATCTCATTATTACGTCTTTATTACTATCATTACCATTGTTGCTCTTGCTATGGTTACTTGTACATCAGAAAACCGAGGCCACTGCGCTGGGGTTGCAATCGCCTCTCCAACAAAGATTGCATAAGCCAACAGTTCCACCACCCGTTGTTCCTACTAGTACTGATATTGGTAGT